CTGGGAGAATAATGAATTGATGGTTTATATGTTCATTATACCAGCATATGTACTGAATATATGCAAATACTGAACAAGTACCGGCAATTACATGAACTACAAGTATCTAAATAGAACACTGCGTACATTGATTTTACGTTGGAGTACTTAATTGGTGGCCGGAGGCGTTTATCTGTGCATTTGTTTGCCCGAATCTAAGGCTGCAGTTATCGNTACCCTCCCCCCCCCCAAATGAATACAGGCTTTCGCCGTAGTAAATGTTATACCAGCATGTACATATATATATATATATATATATATATATATATATATATATATATATATATATATATATATGGCCTCTTATTCGTCAATGATACCCAATGTACTCTGTCTGGGAAAATAATGAATTGATGGTTTATATGTTCATCATACCAGCATATGTACTGAATATATGCAAATACTGAACAAGTGCCGGCAATTATATATGTACGATTTATGTTATTAAGCGCATCAACAGAGGTAATAAAAGTATTGTAACATGTTTTAAATGTCCTCCCTTTTTTTCTGCCACATACTTTGGATCCAAACCACCAAAGTGTTTTGGTTACAGGCATTGAGATATTTAGATTTCGGAAACTTATTTCCAAATTATAAAACTACTATATTAATTTTAAAACGATTTAAAATTGACTATAGTATAATTGAAGCTTTTGTGACAGTTTCAAACGTTCATTCAAATATTTGATCTGATTCACAGCCTCTACACAAAACATTACTGTCTTTTGAAAATGTTTAATTTCTTATATGTGCTAAAGCAATTTGGCAATCCAAAGCAATTCATCAATTGTAAAGCGGCAGATAACCCACAAAACATATTTTACAAGCAGAACGAATCTCAACATCATATTAATGCTGTAATACTTATGATATCATAGTTTAATGTTAATGGGTATGTAGTTTGTATGATGACTTGAGGACATGTTTCCGACATCCTTACAATGACACTATATCTAGTAACTGAATTTCCTTTCAAAGCTTTGACTTAATTAAAAACGTGCAGCTTACATATATCCCTGCATTGGCTTGGAAACGCATTTCCAAAAAAAGATGTATTTTTATTGGCATCAACTATTATATAATCTTGGCTTGTAAGCCTTTAATACTGAAGAAGCGACGGTAAACATTTTTTTTTTTCACGAAAATTAATACAAGACATGTACAACACAATAAGAGACAAATACACCTTCCACACACCATTCACACACTACAAACGAAGTTCTTACAAATGTTGATTAAAAATACATGTAGAATTTTTTAAATAAAAGAATCTTATTAGGCCTAGGCTACAACAAATGTTCTTTTTTATTCATATCAATATTTTTTCTATACTGTCCCATTTTTTCCTTAGATTATCTGCCTTTTGAGGACCCAGTAGGTATAAAGATTGAAAATCTATTATCTTTTGCTTTTCCAAATACTTTTTGCAGGCATTCCAAAGAGGTGTAATTTTATTCTGTCTACATAAAGTGAAATATTTCTTTATATAGAGAAGTAGTAGATTACGACGGTAAACATTTGTCAAGCCCCGTAGAAGATATTTTGCGTGGTTTACCAGTAATTCGTGGCTTTAGAAGCTGCTTTGTGACAGATGGACCATTCAGATCGAGAAGAGCCGAGTGCTAGTAAGACCGCGACCTAAATATGGCGGACCTACATACAAGGAAGTCCGCTTAATCCTGTAATAGTCTCTCTCTCACACGCCTCCCCACGCGTCGATTCTCGACCGGTTGATTTGAGCCGAAATTTTGGGCGTTGGCTTTGATACTGGATCCAATTTTGAGTTCAATTTTTTCTGATATTTTCTGATTATGTGGCTGTGTTATAACAAAAAGTTCAGATTTTCCATCATTAGTTTTCCACTTATTTCTTATCAACTACCCTCGTAGACAGTTTTCCAATTGATTTATTAGGATTTTCTACATTACAGCATGTACAAATTTGTGTATCATCAGCATGGATGTGATATCCAATGTTGTGATGTCTCAATATGGCCCTAATGGGTAATGTATACATACAAAATGCTAGAGGTCCAAGAACACTACCTTGAGGTACGCCAAAAGCTTACTCTGACACATTTGACAATATCCCATTAATCCATACCTATAGCTGATATTTTATTTGTCCTAATTGATCAAGGTTTCAACATGAAGCTTTTCATCCAACTGCTCTGACTAGTGATCTTTGTTGCAAATCATGAACAACATGTACATGTATGACCTTTGTGTTGCAACCAAAGTGATCTCCCATGTTACAAAAGTACGTACTGCAAGACAGAGAAGTTTGAGTAAGTCTCAGTAAAATTGCAGGATTAGCATCCGGTGTTCATTGTCTCCACAGTATCCAAGACTACGGAGTCTTAAACAGTAGAGATTTCTTCCAAATTAAATTCACTGAAAAATCATGATGATCCTTTCAAAGTACATTGTACATATACATATCACTTCAGGGCGTTTGTGGTCCAAACTTGCCTTACGATAAACCCATGTGGCTGGATTTTACTTTGTCCAGAAGCCCAGATAGTGGGGCGATCAACCCGATAGACAACAGAATAAAAGTAACTGGAAAGAGCAGGCTACTTTGCCTGCCGATCCAGACACTTTTAAGCACCATTGGACAGACACACGTGGATTTCTTTTCCCTCGATGTGGAGAGAGTTGAGCTGGAGGTTCTGCAAGCTTTCCCGTAGGATGAAATAACGGTTGATGTGTGGACGCTTGAAGTTCTTGAACTCACAAAGAACTACAGTCAGGTTTTAAAAGATATTAGAGGGGTATTTCATCGAACCGGGATGTATAAAGAAATGCAGCCAATCGAACAAGATTTACTGTTTGTGAGACAAGACATACTCCTCTAAATACCATTATGAACTACAAGTATCTAAATTACCCTGAGTGTCAGAGCAACGTAAAAGCTAGTTTATTAAATATACCTTGTGATGGAGTCGCTTTTACTAGCTCTGACGAACAGCGTCAATCTGAGGGCGTTCTTCTTCAAAATTTTGCCTGGGGCGCTTCCATATTTGGAAGTCACACGTCACGTTCTATTTGCTTGACGGAAGTGTAACATGGCCGCTGTTCGCTAGAGCCGGTATTGCTGATATGGGTTATATATGAAATCAAGATCGAGCTGGCAATACCGGAATCTAGAACCTAGGGTAATCTAAATAGAACACTGTGTAAATTGATTTTACGTTGGGGTACTTAATTGGTGGCCGGAGGCTTTAATCTGTGTATTTGTTTTCCTGAATCTAATGCTGCAGTTATCGTTAAAGAGATCTGATATTATACCACTATATATCTTAAATTATAAATATATATATATATATATATATATATAGGGAATACGTTCATTTAATTAATTATATACACTTCTAAGAATCCCCATTTTATGTGGTTTTTGCCTAACGTGTATTTTAATAGTCAATAAAACGACTACGCATAGACTAAACTTACATCCTGTAATGCACCTACATATGGGTGTAATATAAAACGATTGTAACATTACCCCTACATTTTTGTCTAGTTTATTTTAGAGAAGACGGCTGATTGCAGTTTGGTCCAACAGTCAATATGCCGATCATTAAAATTGGAAATTTCTGGAAGGCCTTGAACTGCGTGGATAATTAGGTGTCTATTTACTGAATTAAGATCTATTATTGTCAACGATAAAGAATGTGTAAAAAGGGGTGAGCCCTTTTTAGAAACAATTCACCTTAAAAAAACTAGGGATGAACTGTATCCTCGGATATCATCGGATGTCCGGGCTCCAGTAAGATAAGCACATGTTAGGGTTACTTGGGGTATTGGGGTTAGTATAAATGAGACGAACGTCACCTGTACAAAGAACATGTACATGTAATAGGAAGTGGACTGCAGCTCCTAGCGGACTTCCATTCCGGTTATGCCCCAATTTCACACAGACCACGAATCCCATGAATCACCAGGAGTTGACAAATTTCAGGATTCGTGGTTGAATCGTAATCAGTTCGTGATTGATCAAGAATTGCAAGAACTGACTACGAATATATACGAATCTGTTAAGAACTTCACGAACTGATTACGCCTTCATCTTTACAAACCCACATTTTCAACATGAAGACGGCTTTATAATTTATGATGTAATCATTGATAAACCATGCATGTCATATTTAAACGCTGCAGTTGAATTGCTGTTGCACAATATGTAGTGCATCGACTACAAGACCCAGCGGTAAGTATAATCAGATTCATTTACTTTTTAAAGTCTTGTATCTACATTAAGGAATGTAAGACAAATAATCGAATACTCGACACTTACTGCGTATATGGTAATTATAAAACACAACGTGAAATGCTTTCATATCGCTAGCTTAACGCTTAAATGGACGTAGGTCTTCATCAGACTGATGTAAGTGGATGTTGTTACTAACTTACCGTTAGGTAGTGAAGTGACCAGCTAAAGGTATGAAATCATTTCTGAATTTCCAGCTTGTGTTTCATAATTATTATATATGTGCCAACTACCAAACCAATGAACATTATTGATCGAGTTCATGTGCACTTTTACACACACACACACACAAAGGAAACTCTTTTACTGCCTCCGGTGACGACAAAATATGAATAAGAAAACTTGAATAATTTAACAAATAACAAACTGGAATCTCTCTTTTAATAAAACAATATATATATATATATATATATATATATATATATAGAGAGAGAGAGAGAGAGAGAGAGAGAGAGAGAGAGAGATTGTTAATTACAATCGAATTTAAATGCAATAGCTCAAGAATGTTATACCAATTAATGTTTCATTTATGTACATAAATTTTCTTTTTTTTTCTATTTTTCTATACTATACTATACTTTCTATATCTATACTTTTTTATATGTATTTTTCTGTTTTTGTAGAAAAAAATGCATTACAAAAGATGTTTCCCACTGGCGTGTACAATAATCATACTAACTGTGTTTACAATGGTGGGGTTTTACGTCAAAACAATCACCCACAGTGGTGGACCTTCCGCTACATTTGAAATGAATGAAAGAAGCAGTACAGACATCGAGGTTCTTCAAGATATTTTCTCGAGAGAGCTTGACGCGCTTGATCCCAGGCTGCTAGAGTTTGTGAGGCGCCGACTGCTCTATGCACCTTCTAGGAAGCCTCGGAATCTTAAGAGACCGAACACGCTGGATTATTCTCCTCGCGCACAAAGTAGAGTTGTAGATACATTTCTGCACCAGCGTCGGAACGGTTTCTTTGTGGAGGCCGGTGCTTGGGACGGAGAAAAGACCAGCAACTCTTTATTTTTTGAAAAATCTCGCAACTGGACCGGAATACTGATAGAACCTGACCCCCAAAATTTTGAGCAACTTGTCATGAAAAACAGGTAGGTACTTTCTATGGTTGCACAGGTAAATTCTTACTTTTTTCTGGTATTACATAAGCGTATAAATTCCTCGGTTAGTTTGCTTGTCTCGAAATGTGATACTTATGAAATGTTATTCCTTACAGATAAATGTTACAATAGGGAACTGTTTTGTACCCCATGCCTTCTCTGTAGTGAAATTTGTTTGCACATCTTTACCTATTTTATCTAGTACTTTACACACACACACACACACACATTTAAGTGTGTGTGTGTGTGTGTGTGTGTGTGTGTGTGTGGAACAAGTATATATATGTACTTGTTTCAGAAGGTGATACATTTTAAAAATCTGAGTTCCAGCAGAACAAGACCCCCAACATTTGTCGTGAAAAGCAGGTGTGTGATTGCACGTGCAGACCTATTTCTTTTTAGTATTATACATTAATTTATGCTTGCACTTGTATCAGTGCCTCATACCAGCATGATATTTTTTATAAGTCTTATACAAAACCGGTAAAGGTTACAACAGGAAATTTCAAACCGGTCAAGGTTACAACAGGAAACTTCACATCCCATTCTCTCTTCTAACAAGTGACCTTTGTTGCTTATTATGACATATGGCCTCTGCGGCCCAATAAAGGTAATCTCCCATTACATACATGATGCAAATAAATTGTACAACATGCTTGAGTAATACCCTCTACCGTAAGCAGGACCATAGATTGATTTTTCACTAGATATTCACAAATGTGTCGATGGTTAAATCATGGCACATTTTCCACTGTGACACACCACTCTCGCGTTAGAGGAAAGTGCACATAATTAAAAGGGGTAACAACTCTTCATATGAGATTCATATTTCACAATAAATACATGGTAAACAACCCATAGAAATAGCATTTTACCACCAAACCAGTGAATACCGTCATTATTCTGGAATCTGTGCTTGCCATCGGACCTCTCGGCCTCCATCTTCTGAAGATATCATCACAAGAAACCAAACGTTAAGAAAAAATAGTACTTAATTCGACTGGTAATTTTAGGGAAATTGTCCTTTACCCTAGCAAAATCCATTTTTGGGGCCGAAATGAATAGTTGGTATCCCTTTAATCCCCGGTCCTTGTAGAGGGTACTTGTAGGGGATTTGTAAGTCTGCACTAACTTCGACACGACACTCCGCCCAACACTGATTAACTCTACCCTCTATAGCTACCAGGGCGACAGATTGTATTTTCCATATATATATATATATATATATATATATATATATATATATATATATATATATATATATATATATATTCACACACACAAATATGTCTCTAGATAAATAGACAGTCATTTTGGCTCTCAGTCAGCAAGAAATGTCCACAATAATAACTGCGGCCCTGGTAGAGGGTAGATTAACTCAACCTTCACACTTTTGTCTGTTAGTTACAAAATAAAATTGATAGAATCACATTTGACCGCGGCCTGAAAATGTTTAAACACAGTGTGTACACATTGCCTCATAGATAGATAGATACAGTGCCGCAGGAATCTCCCCTTACTTACCCTCCGGGTCGCTGCGGGTTGTACGGACGGCCTGGCTCGGTTACTATGGAAATAACATTGTCATCCATACGCTGTTTGGTTTCTGTTAACAATAGTTCCATACCCTGCCCGTCGGGCAATTACCGTGACAAACTTTCTGCTAACAAAAGAACCTAACCCTAGCTCGCTGAGATAAAGATCGAAGGTGAGCGTGGTCGCAATTAAGTGCTCGTCCAAGCGTTAATTGACCTTTAATGCTCGGTGGCTTCACTCTACTCTGATCACTCTACTCTGATACGGAGATTTTAAGTAAAAGAACTTGCCAACATTGATTTTTTAAAGTCATTTTACCAAAAAGATTCGGTGATGACAGCAATTTTCGTGTACATTGTAGCTATGAATTGATTGAATTTACATAGAGTTTAATAAATGAATTTAAGAATTTATCAAAGATCAAATAAAACACTACTTGTACATGTAATATTTATTAGGCTTCAAACTGTCTTTACTATATACGTATTATTAACAAGATTAAAATTTACTTTTATAGTATGTCCCGTTGTCGAATTTCGAATATTTCTTTATTTGACAAGGCGACGGGTGGCCGGCCGATAGACTGATTCCTTGATTCTGTAGGACACAAAGTAGGAACTGTTTCTCTACCATTATTTGATATGTAATTCAGTTCATCTTTACGATCTAAAGCCCAAACTTAACCAAAAGCCTTTTTCATACTTAAACGCATCAAAAGAAATTAATTTAAAAAAAAATGGATTACAATCTCTCGGGCTAACTTCACTGGTTGGCACGTGTCATCTCACATTAATTAACAATCAGTTCAGGTTAGCTTTATTCATGCTGGGTAAACACAGTGATTAAGCCCTGACTATTACATAATCACTACTGTGTGACACGCGTCGTCTAAAATTAATGTTAACATTGCGATGACGCTCTTCAATCCGAACTNGAAGGGGTAGACCGTGTTCGTTGAACCGACTAATTTGGGTGTCCGATAAGGATTGCTTGGGGATTCCCCTACCCTGTAATTATCATACGGCCTCTATTGTTCGACCATATGGGGCAGGGTTGGGAAACCATACGGCCATTTAGTAAGGGGATATTCCGGCGGCACTGTACATGTGTGTGTGTTTGTGTGTGTGTGTGTGTGCGTGCGTGTGTGCGTGTGTGTGTGATTCCAATTACAAGGTACATATACCTTTAATTTCAGGAAGGCGTTTGTGGTCCAGTCCTGTCTCACGAGTAAACCCATTTGGCTGGATTTTACGTTATCCAGCAGACCAGATGCTGGAGCCATCAACCCCATAAACAAAAACCGACCTATTAGGGGAAAGACCAGGCTGCTTTGCCTGCCGATCCAGACGCTTTTAAGCATCATTGGTCGGACACACGTGGACTTCTTTTCCCTCGACATAGAGGGAGCAGAGCTGGAGGTTCTCCGAGCTTTCCCGTGGGATAAAATAACGGTCGATATGTGGACGGTGGAAGTTCATCAGCGTAGTAAGAATTACAGTCAGGCTTTGATAGATATTAGAGGGGTATTTACTCGAACCGGGATGTATAAAGAAGTGCAGCCTATCGGGCAAGATCTACTGTTTGTGCGACAAGATGTCCACTAAACATTGGAGGTTGTTTTTTTTTTTTCTTTTTTTTATATATAGTAGGTTATGTTTACAATCTTACTACAACCCTGGGTTTGACCTTTAACTTTTCCCCACGATTTTCTTATACATTGTAAGTTTCTACAAAAAATTGAGAATTTCAGTTATTGCATTTTGTAGAGTTTATCAAACACAACACTGGTGGTGGTGTCCCTTATTTCCATAGTAATGCGCTTACTCCAGCTGGTGGTACAATACCCGGAGGCAGTATCCCTTATATGATCATCTAGTTATTTTTGGATATTACCTGACTTTTGCTATTTTTAATCTATATTGTTAAGTATACTTCATGCGTTATAGATGTCTCAACGAAGGTGGGAAATAAAACGGTTGTAAAATTACTCCGCTGACTTCTTATTGTCGATATCGTAGAAAACACTTGTGATGGAAATCACCGCGTGACGTCACACGAAACAAGAAAACGTGCGAGAATCCGCGTGAGGTGGGGCTACATTGACTTTTCAGTGAAATGAGGGTTCCCTAACGGCTACGTGCCGGGAATACCTTCTTAGGAAGCGATACAAAAGTAACACGCTGTATATGGGTGGAATATAAAACGGTTGTAACATTACCAGTACGACTTTGTCTAGTATATTTTAGAGAAGACGGCTGATTGCAATTTGGTCCAACATTCAATATGCCGATCATTAAAATTGTAAATTTCTGGAATACCTTTGAACTGCGTGGATAATTAAGTGTCTATTTACTAAATTAAGATCTGTTGTTGTCAACGATAAGGAATAGATAAAAGGAGGCGAGCCCGTTTAGAAACAATTTACCTTTTAAAAACTGGGGATGAATTGTATCCATTGATATCAGGGGCCTCCCCGTCATTTCAGATTTGTAATTGTGTTAGCTGTGACGGCCATGATTGTGACATTTTTACCATTTTTGCAGCGATACATAATCCTGTGAAAGGGGCACCGCGAAAACAAAATCATTGCACTCTGTATAACACAAGTTTTACTGTACCTAGTTAAACAGAAACATTTTAAACGGACGTTGATACAAGTAGAGCGATATAATATAATGTACTAATCAGATGGCCCTGTGTGACAGGAATGGTAGTCCTAGGAACTGAAGTCCAGGCTCCCATATTATAAGTACATGTTCGGACATAAAAAGGATCTCTTATTATGTCCAAGGTACATGTTAGGGTAAGCTTTTTCATCCCGTTGTTACTTTTTTATAAATAGATGGTGGAGCAACTTACCCCGGGGTCCAACCAGCCTGGTCACCCCAATGTACTCGTGTTATAAGAACATCGTATTCAGACTAAAGTTAACACTCCAGCATGTGCGTCTTTTTGACAGAGATCAAACCAGTGACACTTGATAGGATATTCAAAGTCGAACGCATGTTGATATAAAAGATGGTTTCATGGATGATTTTTTTTTTACAATAAAGCACCAATCTCCAGACATCCGCCATCATCTTGAAATACGATCTAGAAAACCGCATTTTCAACATGAAGACGGCTTTATAATGTATGATGTAATCATTTATAAATCATGCATGTCATATTTAAACGCTGCAGTTGTACTGCTATTGCACAATATGTAGTGCACTGACTGCAAGACCCAGCGGTAAGTATAATCGGATTCATTTACTTTTTAAAGTCTTGTATCTACATTAAAGAATGTAAGACAAATAATCGAATACTCGACACTTCCTGCGTATATGGTAATCATAAAACACAACCTGAAATGCTTTCATATGACTAGCTTAACGATTTAATGGACGTAGGTCTTCATCAGACTGATGTAAGTTGATGTTGTTACTAACTTACCGTTAGGTAGTGAAGTGGCCAGCTAAAGGTATGAAATCATTTCTGAATTTCCAGCTTGTGTTTCATAATCATCATGTATGGGTCCACTACCAAACCAATGGACGTTCTTGCTCGAGTTTATGTGCACTTTTACACACACACACACACACACACACACACACACACACATGTGACAACAAAATATGAACAAGAAAAACTTGGATAATTTAACAAATAACAAACTGGAATCTCTCTTTTAATAAAACATCCATTTATATATATATATATATATAGAGAGAGAGAGAGAGAGAGAGAGAGAGAGAGAGAGATTGTTGACGTTAATTACGCTCGAATTTAAGCGCAATAACTGAAGCATGTAATTCCAATTAATGTTTCATTATGTACATAAATTCTCTTTTTTTTTTCTTTTTCTATTTTTTTTATGCATGTTTTTTTTTTCTTAAAATTAATATCTATACTTTTTTATATGTATTTTTGCTGTTCTTGTAGAAAAAAATGCATTACAAAAGATATTTCCCAATGGCGTGTACAATTATCATACTAACTGTGTTTACAATGTTGGGGTTTTACGTCAAAACAATCGCCCACAGTGGTGCACCTTCCTCTACATTTGAAATGAATGAGAGAAGCAGTACAGACATCGAGGTTCTTCAAGATATTTTCTTGAGAGAACTTGACGCGCTTGATCCCAGGCTGCTAGAGTTTGTGAGGCGCAAACTGCTCTATGCTCCTTCTAGGAGGCCTCGGAGTCTTAAGAGACCAAACACACTGGATTATTCTCATAGCGGACAAAGTAAAGTTGTAGATACATTTCTGCACCAGCGTCGGAACGGTTTCTTTGTGGAGGCCGGTGCTTGGGACGGAGAAATGACCAGCAACTCTTTATTTTTTGAAAAATCTCGCAACTGGACCGGAATACTGATTGAACCCGACCCCCAAAATTTTGAGCAACTGGTCATGAAAAACAGGTAGGTACTTTCTATGGTTGCACAGGTAAACTCTTACGTTTTTCTGGTATTACAGATGCGTATTAATTCCTCGGTTAGTGTGCTTGTCTCTAAATGTGATACTTATGAAACGTTATTCCTTACAGATAAATGTTACAATAAGGAACTGTTTTTTACCCCATGCCTTCTTAGTAAAAATGACTGAATTGATAACAGTAAGATATTGCTTGGTTACCATTATAACTGACGCCACTCTTTTCCAAGCCAAATCCTTTGGAATAAAAACTTTGGGATATACTGTACCTGACGATCCCCATAGAGTTTTAGTTAAAAATGTGTATCAGTGTCTAGTGTTTGTGTTCTCTAAAAATGCAAGGCTTTGACAATCAGAATCACACAAACTTCTAAAAGTCCAAAAATTAATTGATGCGAAGTTGTGGAGACAAATTTATGACCACAGACTAATTGCTCTAGTATATAATTTGGCTTTTAAGGTACATTGAAATGTCATTTCAGGAATTTATAACCTAAGACCAAAATTGCTAGTATAAACTTTGTCTTTCAAAGTACCATCATTTCAAAAAAAATTATGGCTTGAGGCTGAAAACGCTAGTACATACTCTCTCTTTCAAGGTTCAATTCTTATCATTTCAGGAAGGCTTTTGTGGTCCAAACTTGTCTCACGGGTAAACCCATGTGGCTGGATTTTACTTTGTCCAGAAGCCCAGATAGTGGGGCGATCAACCCGATAGACAAAAGAATAAAAGTAACAGGAAAGAGCAGGCTACTTTGCCTACCGATCCAGACACTTTTAAGCACCATTGGACAGACACACGTGGATTTCTTTTCCCTTGATGTGGAGGGGGTTGAGCTGGAGGTTCTCAAAGCTTTCCCGTGGGATAAAATAACGGTCGATATGTGGACAGTCGAAGTTCATAAACTCACAAAGAACTACCGTTAGGCTTTAAAAGATATTAGAGGGTTATTTCGGCGAACAGGAATGTATAAAGAAGTGCAACCACGAGGACAAGATGTACTGTTTGTGCGCCAAGACATACTCCTCTAAATAGCATTATTATATGAACTACAAGTATCTAAAGCCTCTCTTACAACCCATCGTGCGTGCTTAGAGATCGTGCGTCCTCGGAGTTCTTGTCAGACGTAGTGTTGTCGCAGGATGAAAATTAAATCGCAGCGGACGAAGTAGTAAGTACTTTATGAGTAGGTGTGCTGTGCTCTAAACGTGGGGCCCGCAAGTGGTCTGTACGCCTTTTTTTGGAAGTAGGAAGAAGTAAGGAGCACGTACGATCTGTACTTGTGTCGCACACAGTGAGTGAGATAATTATACGTGTATTGCAAGTGAAGCGGACGTTTTCAGAAATCGTACTTACGAAGTAAGAGAAACGTAATAAGCACGGAAGTGGAACGCACGGATAATCAAAATAATATAAAAGGGAGCACTGAGTCTCTTCATCATTCACTGTCTTGGTTTCCAAAATGAAACTTCCAAGAAGGATGCGCCATCGACTTCTACAGCTGCTAATGCTAGAGGAGGCCGAAGATCGTGACGCTATGCTTGCAGTGGTTGCTCGGGATCGCCTGCACTTTTATTGTGCTGGGCACGTGCGTCGTCTTAGTGTGACGCACTTCACAAGTATGGTAGTAGTACTCTCCACGCACTTTGGAAATGAGATAAACGCACGGAGGAAGTGCGCTCACCCCCCTTTTCGTTAACACGTACACTGAAAGCAAGTTGAACGTACGAGTCTCTTGCGTGGTAAGTACGTCTTCGTGGTAAAATACCCCGGAATCACTGCATGCTTTACCTGCGTTACACCAAGNATGACTGCTAAATAAATAAACTTTATTATCAAATGTGAATGGGTTGAATGTGGAAATGATTATTTTCCTATACACCTTTGCTGTTAAGTTTTTATCATAAGGAGTGAATACGGTAAATGTTATTTTCGTGTTTTAACTTAAAAGTCACAAATAATAAAATACAAATAAAGTCAGACAAATAAGTCAGACAGTTTTTCAAAAAATACATTCAATTTCATATGACAGTGGCGGATTTTGAGGGGGGTTTGACCGCCAACTTCGGTATCTGAAAAATATATCACACCAATATTCCACTCTTGAAATTAGAATTTTAACTAGTTAAATCATTGTTCTAAACCGTGCGTGCCAAAGTGCACTGTTTGCTCTCCAAAAGACCAAAA